GCAGGTGAATGCCAAACACTATATTAAAGATCACTTCTATGTGTCACTTGAAAACAATTTTGAGCACGAGGCTCAATGTGTCCAAAAATCTATTACACGCCAAACATCTGCACCAAGCTGACAGGTACACGTAGCATTTTGACTTACCTTTTGGCCATTCTTGTAAAACTGGAACGTGGGCATGGATCTGATTCCACAGGATGAGGACACATCCTGAAAGAGAAGCAAATACATCAGATGAGCTCACTGGGTCATCAAGATCTCTCTTGACTACAGATGGTTATGACCAACTGTAGCTGTAGATGTGGCGAGAGGCCAATTAAGAAGAAGCCATTAAGCATAGTGTGACTAAGACGGGCTTCTTCAGCTACCCAAGATCATACTCTCCAACACTTCAGTGTTGCCTCTTTCCCACAGCACAGAAATGAATCTTTATGCAATTTATTTGATTCTTCCTGCACTCTCATTTGTCCTGTGATGTTCCATAAAATGCTGCAAAAACCACAAACGTGTTTGACAGCAACTGTACAGAGACGTGTCGAGGATCTCTGCGCTAGCACAGGCCTGGCAGCAGCTGAAGTAATCCAACTGCTTCTGCAGGCTCATCAGGAAGTAAGTCAAACTCAGACTTACATGGGCAGCATCCACGTCCACCTTCAGGAAAATCACGTTGGCATTTTCAGGCGCCACAGCCATTTTCTGCAGGAGAGAAGATCAGCGAGTCAACATGCAAACTTGTGCAGATCATCTGCTGCCACGTCACACTTATGAAGGATCAAAAGGGGAAACATCTAAAATAAAAGTCTGAATTTGTTCTCTTGTGCCATAACAAAAAATGTGGGTTGTTTTTCATCTTAATAGTAATTTCTTAATGTGTCAAATCTAACTTATAGTTGAAAAAAAATTCACAACGTAACTTATTGAAGAAATGCCATCTTTAGCATTGCTGAGGTTATTGGAGCAAAGGGGTCAAAATGATGCTAAGAGTGGGGACAGTCGACTCTGGGACTAGAGCATCAGTACCATAGTGACTCCTCTGGCTCATGAGCCATCCCAATATACAGGTTATTGTAATGTGTGAGGGACAGAAATAATGTGGAAGCACAGATCGACATGCAGATGCAAGAGTTCAGAGTCGTTTTAGTTTTGACAGCATGTACCTCATACACTGGGGCAATCCTTTGGCAGGGGCCACACCAAGTGGCTGTGAAGTCCACCACCACCAGCTTGTTTCCAGCTTCCTTCAGGATGTTATTGAACTCTACCTGGAGAGAAATCAAAAACCAACAACATAGTTTGAAATACATTTGAATCTTATAATTAACCTGACAACAAAAAATAGAGGTCAGTGTTTCACATTAAAATACAGATTGTTACAGCGTTGTTGTCCACTTTTCACTGATCGCTGCCTGCGGCTGTATTTACGCACAGAGGATTTCAGCCCAACGCTTCCTCCAGAAAGATTTCGCTTTCAGTTTGCCTAACTTGAGCTTT